TAAATAAATAAATAAATAAATAAATAAATAAATAAATAAATAAATAAGTCTCAAAAAAACAAAAATGGTTAAGCCATTATTACAGTCAAATATCTATCTGTCAAGTACAACTTATTTCTAGTTGTTTTAAGAATCTAGTAGCCAGATGTGCTGGCATATGTGTGGAAGCCTACATATTCAGAAGGCTGCTGAGGATTGCTTGAGCTCAAGAGTTCAAAGCCAGGATGGGCAACAGCAGGAAGGCTGTATATATATATGTTTGGATTCTGATGAAAGCTTTGGCATTTGAACAGTGCGTTTCTGTCATTTTTATAATGATACTTAAATGTTGTTACTACATGTAACATAGTTTCAAAGCTTTCTGTAGTTGGTTGATTTGTTTTGAGACAGGGTCTCTGCTGGCCTGGAACTTGCACTGTAGACCAAGCCTCTGCCTCCCTAGTGCTACAATTAAAGACCTAACTTTCTGAGTTCGTGGCCCTTGCAAATTCCATGAGTTTCTTGAGCCCCAGTCTCTGGGCAGCTGGCATCACAGGCATACACCGATGTGCCTGTTGTGGTTTACCTTCATTAATTTCCTATCACTGGACATTTGGGTGGTTTCTTATTTTCTGTTTCTGTCAGGATCTGGCTATGTAGCGTTGGCTGTTTAGAGCTCACTATGTGGACCAGGCCCCAGACTCAGAAATCTACCTGCCTCTGCCTCCCAAATTCTGGGATTCAAGGCATGTGGCCCTCTTGGCCCTTTTTTTACTCTCATAAACAATGACACTATGAGTATTTTTTAGTCATTTTTATGTTTTTGAAATCTAAAATTGGGACATCTCATTTCAGTTAACATTAGCAATGTTACCCCATTTCCAGCTTCTCCTTCTGTCCCACAGATCTTCAGATCCCTGCCCGTCGGCTATAACATCTCTAAGCAGGTTCTTGATCAGTACCTCACGCTACTGGCAGATGACCCAGTAAGTCTCCCACCCCCTCGGTCTGTTCACAATTTATCTTCGCCTCTGAATCCTAATATAGTCTGCTCTCGCCTTCTTGTCTACTTAGCCAACCCAGACAGAGTCCCCATCATCCAGCAGGAAAGCTACCTGCTTTCCACTCTGGACCGGATTTGCTCCACGAGAAACAGAATTCCTGGCCTTTACCTTCAGTTAACACCATTGACTCTCTCTCCTTTTAACAGCTAGAGTTTATTGGAAAGTCTGGCGACAGCGGTGGAGGAATGTATGTCATCAGTATCCTTCCCTGTTGTCCATTCTGTCAGGACCCTGGGGTAGGAAGCAGAAGGGTGACCTAAGAAAGGTTGTTTTGTTTTATGATGAGACAGTCTAATGTAGCCTAGGCTGGCCTTGAACTCACTGAAGAAGAGGAGGTTGGCCTTGAACCTCTGATTCTCTTGCCTTCACCTCCCAAGTGCTGGGATTAGAGGCATAAGGAAAGGATTTTGTCAATGCTCAATATACTAATCAAGCTCAAAAATTGAAATAACTTTGTAGTAGGTTTTCTGTGAATTTTTAGTGAGCTACAGTAATAAAAATTAAACAGGCTTTGGACTGTCTCTCAGTAGCACCGCAGGTATCGTTCAAGGTGCTGGGCCAGATCACCAGCCCTGCAACGGGGAAAGAAGGAAGAGGGTGGAGTCAGAGCAGAAAGATAAGAAAGGGAAGGGAACAAAAGATTTACGTAAGCAGAACCCTTACAGATGTTAATATATTTATATATCACACAGAAAATGGGAAAAGCAAAATATCATTTAATTTTTAGTTATAAATTAGGAATTTAGTCATGAAACTAAGTTCATAATGACCAGGCCAAAATATTACGGAATACCCTTAATCCTCTACAAAAAGACCTCCATAAGGCATTAGCATCCCTAGCCACTGCAACTCTGGAGTCGGTAATCCAGGAGAGGTGAGAGGCTCACTGGCTGGGCTTGGGCTCAGACACCTCCTATCCGTACCCCACTGAACAGGCAATTGGGTTGGTTGGTTGGTTGGTTGGTTGGTTGGTTGGTTGGTTGGTTTTGGGGTTTTTTTCTGGCATACCCTGTCACACTTGGTCTCACCTTTCCAGTAGAACTGTTCTTCCCCATAAAGTTAATTCCTAGTTAGGCAAATTAACCAGCCACCCTAAAGTTTTGTAATACAAGAACTACAAAGGAGTAGGCATTTGGTGACAAGCTATGATTAACAGAGCTATCACCAGCCCCTGGAGCCGTGAAAGAACTCCAAATGCTCTTTTCCTCTCTGTCCACAAATGGCCCAGCACATTCACACGCTAAGACCAGGAGCTCAAGCATACCATGTGCTTCTTTGTTCCCTTCCAGATTCGGGTCTCGCTGCGCCAGGATATTCCGTCTGGTATTGCAGAAGAAACACCTGGAACAGAAGCAGGTGGAGGATTTTGCAATGATCCCTGCAAAGGAGGCAAAGGATATGCTGTATAAGATGCTCTCAGAAAACTTCATATCACTCCAGGTAACCACAGCTTCAGCGAAGGCCGAGCGGCAAGGCTGGCCTCGGCAGGAGAAACTCCTAAGGACGTCCTCTGGGTGCCCAGACAGACCCCGTAGCTTCTGAAACAGAAGAAGATTAACACGGGCATAGAAAATCCGTGAAGGGCCATGTAGACTTTAACTGGCCTAGTAAGAGAGAGAGACAGAGCTCACCAGGAAGTCAGCCACAGCCCATTCTTGCTGACCTTCCTCCAGCCTTCAGTCTGTACTAGAATAACTCATTCAGCATGTCTGAGATCCTGTGGAGAGCTGTGTTGGAGACCCTTTGAGGAAACAGGTTGAATGGATTTTGGAGTCAATTCACCAGACAAATCAGCTACCATCATCTTGTGCCTGTAAAATGGTGGTGGCTGTTGACACCAGAACATGGCTTACACCAACCATGGTAGTGCCTGCCTGTCAGTCAGTACTTGGGGGACCAAGGCCGCAGGGTTGAAAAGCTAAGGCTAGCATTGGCCACATTGTCTCACGCTGTCTCGCTTATTAATAAACAAAGTCGATTTTGAAAGTCAGGGATAATCCACCTGGCATGTGTAGCATTTACTCAGTAAATATTGGTTGCCTTCCCTTTCTTTCACTCAGGATGCAGATAGACAAATGGAAAACCACGAAGCCTGTTTCATGTGTCTGATTATGTCATAAACATAATGGTTGTCAGTACCCAGTGGATTGATGTTTGTTTTGCCAATTCCAGTGAACAGTACCATTTCTCTCCTTTATTTCTGTGGATAAACAGGAAATTCCTAAAACACCAGACCATGCCCCGTCCAGGACCTTCTATCTATACACCGTGAATGTGCTGTCAGCTGCCAGAATGTTGCTGCACAGGTGCTACAAGGTAGCGGATGTCGGCTTTCTCCCGGTTCCCTCACACCACAGCCCTGCCCTTCTGCCTCCCTCGCCCACCAGCCCGTCCATGTCTCCAGTCTGTCTTCTCTTTCCCCAGAGCATAGCCAACTTGATAGAAAGGCGGCAGTTTGAAACAAAGGAGAACAAGTGAGTGGACTCTCTGCTGAATTGTCTTCTTTTTTCAGACACAGCTTGTTTTAATACTATTTTTTTTTTAACCACTAATCCAGTACCTAAAACACTTCAAAAGACTATGTGGTGCCGGTTCTCCTTTACCTGGTACCTGTGGGCCTCACACTTGTTCGTTTCCATTTTCAAGGTCCAAAGCCTGGGGGGAACCTTGCTGTAGAAATGGAAACAGTCCCCAGTGCCCAGTCTAGTTGCACTGCGTCATAGGTCTGTGTTGGCACACCCATGCCTAAGTTTACCCGACTGACTGCACCTCCAGTTAAGCAGCTTTGCAGAGCTAGGAGGCATGTGCCTGACACCAGCATTTAGGTGTTGACCGAGAGGCAATAAATGCTTCAGGGACAAAGCTGTGTTTGTAATTAAGCTTATGGAAAATGAAAGGGATGAAACGCTGAAAGGGAGGAGCTGGGCCTCTGGGTTAAAGGGCAAGAGAACCTCAAGGTCAAGGAACCTCCCTCAGGGCTGTGTCTGTCTGCTAGGCGGCTCCTAGAAAAGTCTCAGCGGGTGGAAGCCATCCTTGCGTCAATGCAGGCCACGGGGGCGGAGGACGCGCAGCTGCAGGAGATAGAGGAGATGATCACGGCCCCTGAGCGGCAGCAGCTGGAGACCCTGAAGCGCAACGTGAACAAGTGAGCAGCCTTTAGTCCATGCGCTCCGGAGGCCGAGATCTAGTTCAGGCCTGGCTCGGTCTACACGGGGAGTTCCAGGACGGGTAGGGCGTTGCAGAGAGACCCTGTCCCAAAAAAGTATTGAACCTGCCTATTTTCTAAGTCAGCAGTTCTGAAGCCATCACGCTTCTTTTCTGTGCTCTGTCATTCGCCAAGTATTGAGACTTTTACTTCAGTCTCGAGTCTGGCATTTCATCTTCGTCCCTGCACAGACTTGGTTAGCTCTTCCCTAGAACTTGAGTTACCTCGTTCTTACAACCCATGTGTCACAGTGCCCTGAAGGTAGGTGTGTTGGAGGGTCTGTGTGTGAGACCACACATGCCAGGCATGCATGTGGAAGCCAGAGGAAGATACATGCTGCTGTGTCTGTATATTCTGAGGCTCCAACCTCAGGCCCTTACACTTGGATGACAGGCAATTTACCCAGGATTCCAGCTCTCCAAGCCCCAAGTTAAGTCTTTAAGTGATTGATAGCATCACTCTCCTAGGTGAAAGGATTTGTCAGCTTGTGCGTGCGTATTCTTCCTTTGGCTTGGGAGGGTTATGTTTTGACCAAAGGTCTCATACAGCGCCCACGGGTGTTGGACTGATCCTATTGCTTCTACCACGTCCAGAGCGCCGGGATTACAAATGTACACCACACTAGCCAGCCGATTCGCTGGCTTGTTTTTACAGTATGAAGTCCAAATTCATTGCTGTCACGGGGCCTTTCATAGCTTCGCAGCAGTAACTTCCATATTCATTCCTTTTTCTTGTTAGCAGGGACTGTGTAACCTTTATTAAGTTCAGTGTTAGCTGTAGTTTTGTTTTCCTCATTGGATTGTATCAGAGTGGGGAAGTCCCTTCCTCTTCCTAATTAGCACTCTTCAGCTCTCATGGTTGTAAAGCACGCTACCATTTCACCTATGCTTTACAAATAAGTGCTGGGTTTTTCTCAGGCTTGCAAGTAAAACCTTAACTTCTCCCAGGACAGACACTGTCTTTGTAGCCTTAGGAGCGCCATGGTGCCTGGCATGGGAGAGATCTACGCATTTTCCATTGCTCAGGGATAAACAGGCATTTCTGTGCGGCCACACTCAGCCCAGCCTCCAGTTTTGAATGTGTTAATGAGCACTAACCCTGGGCAAATGCTCTCATTTTTCACTCAGGCTGGATGCCAGTGAGATCCAGGTAGATGAAACCATCTTCTTGCTGGAGTCCTACATTGAGAGCACCATGAAGAGACAGTGACCCAGAAGAGCCAAGGCTGGGATCAGACGCGGGGCCTCCACATGCTGGCCAGCGGACACCGCAGCCCCGCCAGGGACCAGCGCCCTGCTCAAAAGATGTGGGAGATACGGGAAAGGAAGAAGGTGCTTGGATGCTTTCCTTGCAGTGGGATCAGTTGCAGGTTCTTGCAGTTTGTTTGTTTGTTTTTTAATTTTTCAAGACGGTTTCTCTGCGTAGTCTTGGCTGTCCTGAAACTCACTGTGTAGACCAGGCTGGCCCCAAACTCACAAAGGCCTGCCTCTGCCTCTGAGTGCTGGATTAAAGGCGTGCACCACCTCGCCTGGCTAAGTTGCAGATTCTTGTACCGATGAACCATATTCCTGTCCTTCTGCACTGCTCATGACACACCTGAAAGAGGACATTCTCGTCTCATCAAATCCCCACAGTGGGAAGAACCTTAAATAAATGAGATTAATCAGAAATTAGCTGTATCCGTTCTTATCAAGAGTCATCTGGGGCCAGCAAGGTGACTGAACAGCTCGAGCCTGAGGACCTGGGTTCAGGTGCTCGGCGCCCGCATGAGATGTAGGTGTGATGCCTGTGAGCCCGCCAGGGAGATGGGCGCAGCCCTGAGACAAATTGATGAGCTTCTGCTTCAACAAGCCACGTGAAGAGCAGCACGCTGATGGGTGGCTCTGTGGGTAAGGGGGCTTGCCACCAAGGCTGATGACCCAGCCCCAGAACCCACATGCTACAAGAAGAGAACAAACACAAATTATCCTCTAGCCTCTTCTGAGGCACAATAGCACACATACACATAAAATCAAGGAAGACCTCCCCCAACTATCGATTTCTGATCTGGACACACGACACATACACCACACAGACAAAAAGAAGTCCACCAAACCTGGGCATGAAGGTGCGGGCCTGTGATCCCACCAATAAGGAGGCTAAGATGGGGGAATTACTGCAAGTTCAAGGTCAGCCTGGGCCTTTTGATGAGTTTCAGGCTGGTGTGGCCAACAGAGTGAGAACCTGTCTTAAGAAAACAAAAATTAAGTCCAAACTTATGTTGATAAAACACCGTGACCAAGGAACTTACAGAAGACCCTTACCTGGCCTTACAGTTCCAGAGGGCCAGAGTCCAAGATGGCAGAATGAAGGCATGGTGGCAGAAACAGGATGCCTACCCCAGTGGCATCCTCCAAGGCCACACTACTAAACCTCTCCATTAGTGCTACCAGTTGGGGGTCAAGTGTTCAAATCCCCAAGGGGAGCTGTGAGGGACATACTCAAACCATCACGGTCCCTCAAATTTCTTCCTAGGCGTCAATTCCATTTGCAAAGTCTGTGTCTATTTCACTGAGCTGTAATGTTTAACACATGCTCACAGTGTACAGCATGTCAAAAAACTGCTGTGGGAGGAGGAAAAGTACTTATTTGGGGTTTTTTGTTGTCGGTCTTGGTTTTTGTTTTGGTTCTGAGACAAGGTTTTGCTGCCTAGCTAGGCTGACCTGGAGCTCGCTGTGTAGACCAACTGACCTGGAACTTTCAGCAATCTTCCAGCTTGCGTTTCACAGATACTAGGGTTAAAGCATGTACTACACAACCCAGCAAGAAGACCTGTTTTCAGGACTGACAGGTAAAATGGCCCAAGCAGTCATTGAATATGTAAATTTGCCAACTCTAGGCTTCTAGAATATCTGAAATTATCTATGTAGAAGACTTTACTATGATGTCCGGAACATGATAAACACGCGCGCGTAATCATTACGTCATTACTTTTCTGTCTGTGGTCCTGCTCTAGATTGTGTCAGTATCTTGAATATAGTTTGTCCCGGTAGCTTCAGTTCATTTAACACAGGTAAGCGTTGCTCATAAGACCCTTTCCTCTTACCAATAACGCTTGGGTGTCAATATGTTGCTAATTTCTACATTAAATCCAAAGTATCAAAATAAACAGGAGGCCCTAGTCTGGAAGTAAAGGTCCTTGCTTGCCAAGTTTGACAACCTGAATATTTTTAATTGAAAATAGTTTTTTTTTCATACAATATATTCTGATTACGGTTTCTCTACCCCAGCTCCTCCCAGATCCTCTCCACCCACCTATATCCACATTCTTTCTCCCTCATTAGAAACCAGACATCTAAAAATAGATAAAATAAGACAAACCAGAAACCAGAATAGAGCAAGACAGACGACAACAAAAGCCAAAGAACAAAATAAATACAGGTGGCTGACACACAGCCCGTAAAACCAAGAGCAGAAACCATGACAGACACGCAAGAAATCTCTAAGGAGAAAAAAAGTGCAGACAAAGCACTATGAAATCAAAACACTCCAAGAAAAACCATTGAGTTTGTTCTGTGTTGCCCATCTGTTGCTGGGCATGTGGCCTGCCCAGAAGTGTCATTTGTATGCCCAGTGAGAGTCCACTGGAGAAAACTGATTCCCCTTTGCACGCAGTTAAGGTTGGGGTATGTGTCCATATCCCCTCTCTGTGCTGGGACTCCCGTCTGGCTTAGGCCTGTGCAGGCCCTGTGCATAGAGCCATGCCTAACCTGTGAGTTCATGTGTCCCATTCCTACCGCCTCTGAAGGCCCTGTTTCCCTGGTGTCCTCTACCCCCTCTGGCTCTACAGTCTTTCCACCTCTTCCACAGAGTTCTCTGACCCTAAGGGGCGGGGTTTGATGAGGACATTCCACTGAGGGTTAAGTGTTCCAAAGTGTCTCACTCTGCACACTGTCCAGTTGTGGACCTCTGTTCCCATCTGCTTCAGGAGGAATCTTCTCTGATGACGGCTGAGCAGGGCATGAACCTAAGAATACAGCAGAGCGTCATTAGGAGTCACCTAATTGCTATGTTCCTTTAGCAGACAACAGTATTTAGTTTTCTCCCTGGCCGGCGGCTTATCTTATCTCAGGTTCTTGACCATCCCAGGAAGAGGAGGCCTTGATCCCTATCAGACAGTGCCAACCTGAGGTTTTTCATGGACTCGCGTCATGGAAGGAGGGAGCCAGCTTCTCTGACCTCCACAGACCCCCACAATGACATAAATAAATGTGATTATATATTTTCAAAGATAGAAGATCGTCTCGGCATTCCAGCTACTTACCACAAGCTACTAGAAGGCCCGGCTTTGATCTTCAGAACTGCACAAAGTGAGCTTGGTTGAAGCAGGGGACCTGGAGGCCAGCTAGTCAGAAGGCCTTCAGCTGTGGCTACACAGGTTTGAGACTAACCTGGGCTACATGAGACCCTGCTTTACTTTTCTTTTTTTTTTTTTTTTTTTTTTTAGGTGTCTGATATGAAGACATAATTAATTTGAGGCGCTCCCTGCTGAGAAGTGGATGGGGCTGGTGGGGAATAATGCCAATCCAGAAATCATTCTGCCTGGGGATTACTGTCCCAAACAGAGAAGTCAGAAATAACTCAAGAGGAAGTGAGACTATGTGGTGGGTTTCTTTGTAGTTTATGAACATTTCACTCAGGGATTGTCCCCAAAAGTTGTATCTAAATTTCCCAACTGGCCTGGGAAACCTGGCTTGCGTGGGCAGGCCGGAAGCCGCACGCCTCACCGTGCTGGGCCACCAGGGGGCGCCAGGCAAGCGGCGACCAGAGCAGCGCGATGGCCGCCGCAAGGTTGCTGCTGCGCCTGGCCGGGCGTCTGGAGTCGGTGAGCTTCACACAGAGTGTGTGTGGCCTCCTGGGCGCCGGGCAGGGGCCCGGGCCGTGGTACACGCATTGCAGCTTGGAGCGGGGACAGCTTGTCCTCTCCAGCAATTCATTCCCCGGCGCCTCCGAGAGGCTTCCGATCCAGGTTGGGACAGGGCACCAGCAGGGAAAGTGAGGGCGGCTTGGGGTCTGGGAGGGTGGCGGCAGGACCTCTGCCCTCGAGGGCTCCCCTGATTTCTGGAAGCCCCACTCTGCTTCGGAAGTCTTAGCCGGGTCAATCCCCTCTTGTCAGAGACCTCCTTTCTGCCCTTTTGCGGCTCTGGACCAGCAGCCTGGGGTCTCCAGGACCGAGCTGCTCACAGATAGAGGTGTGGATCTGGGTGTGGCAGTCATTCTCCAGTCCAGTGACCAGACGGTCTTGTTGACCCGAAGGACATGCACTCTCCGCATTTCCCCCAACGTCTGGGTCCCTCCAGGTAGGTGAGCATCTAGGAATAGGGTCAATAGGAGACCGTTGTCCTTTCCCTCCACACTGCTGTGGCAGGGCCCTCTGCCCCCTGGAGGACGGGCCCCTGGTTGAAGGCAGCACCGTTCACTATCGGGCCCACTCTCCTTGCAGGTGGGCACATGGAGCTGGATGAGGAGGTACCAGTCTGCCGACACCACCGAGAGCCCCAAGACTGGAGTCCCCTTGGGCATGGGCGAAGGGAAGGACAGAGAGAGGGGCGTGCTGGGTTAAGCTCTGGGTACTCTGACCTGTTCCCTTTGGCTCCCAGATCCTGGAGTGCGGGCTTCGAGAGCTGAGGGAAGAGTCTGGACTACAGCTGCCCCAGAAGCAGTTCTCTTGTGTCCTCCTGGGGTTATGGGAGGTGAGAAAGAACGACCCAGGGCCCACTGAACAATCCTTGCCTGCCGTGGGCACCAGCGGATGGCTCGGAGGCCCCAAACCATAGGCCTCACACATGCCCTCATTACCTGTTACCTACCGCCCACTCCTTCGGCCCCGGGCCAGCATTGTACTCCCTAAACTCTACTTACGGTCTCCAAGATGCAAAGTTTCCTAATATGCTGTGTTTTTGTTTTTCTGTTTTTCATAGTCTGCCTACCCTCCTAGGCTGAGCTGGGGTTTCCCCAAATACCATCACCTCATTTTCTATGTACTCGTCATGTCCCAGGAGTCACAGCAGCAGCTCCAGGTAGGCTTGGCAGTAGGGGAAGATGGGAGAAATGACCTGGCTGCGACTGCAAATAAGAGAACAAGGGGAGACAACCAAGCTACCAGCTGCCCCTTGTCTGTCTGCTCCCCGCCTCTTGCCCTGATGAAGAGAATCCACATATCTAACCCCAGGCCCGGATCCAAGTAAACCCAAATGAGGTGAGTGCCTTTATGTGGCTGGGACCAGACGTAGCCAAGGCTGTGGCTGCCACAGAGGACGGGACGGAGACACCCAGACGCCTTTCCCAGGACCTACCACCCTCTCTCAGGTTAGTTCTACTTCAGCCATCAGCCCACAACAGCATACATGCATGCCCGGGGCGGTGCGGTCTGGAGTTGCAGGTCGTGGGAGGAATTAGGGGAGTTGTCCTACTGACAATCAAAAGACCACCCGAGACGGAAGACCCCAGTGTTAAGGGTTCATGCTCCAACATTGAAGACCTTGCTTTGAGCCCCTACTCTCCCACAGAAGAAAGCCACTTAAACCTTGAATGTTCCCTTTCTGTTAAGTGAGGTTAACGCTCACTCACTGCCGCAATAATTGGGAGGATTAAATGGCCCAGTATACTAAAGTTCATTGTAAGCTACAAGGCACACCCTGAAAGAAACTATCATAATCCAGCGCAACCGAGCTGAAGGACAATGGAGGAACCAGGCCTCTGGTCCTGCCCGTGTCCACACTCATGCGGACAACTCCCAACACAGAAGAGAACAAAGAAAGGGTCAGTGCTGGAACCAAGTTTGCCCTCAGGCTCTGGCTGCAGCATCTGGGCAGATGAAGGTAAGAAATGGCTTGAGGGCACCACAGCCTTGGGTTGGATGGTCTGGTGTTCCTATGGACATCAAAGAGACAAAGGAAGAGGAACAGTTCTTGGAGACGCTTGTGTGAATGCCCGCACTCCGTCCCAGGTAAAAGTGAAGTTCACGTGGACTCCGGACAGGCAAAGGAAGGATGGTGGCCTGTGAGAAAGCGTGGCAGAGACGTGAGCGCAATACCTATGATCTCCCTCGCAAAGCTGTCCTCTGGTCTCCACATGCAAAAGCACGGCACCGATGCCCACATGCACAGTAATAAACACTTTTAAATGTTTTTAAGTGTGATGGTAGAGCACAGATCCTCTTCCCCACAAACAGGGGTAGAAAGTGAGGCACAAACTCTCGGCCAGTTCTTGACGCTCACAGAACATTCACAACCTTTATTGTAGGTGAGAACTCTGCTACAACTCTGGGAATAAAAAGTAAAGTCACATCACAGGGCCTTGGCCCTGAAGGGGCCTGAGTATTGGGAAGGAGAACTCGGAGCCCCCCGTCCCACAAAAGGTGCAGAGTGATCCAGGCCTGAACGCAGCACGTGAGAAGCTCAGGCCCTGGCTGGTTAGCATGAGAACATTGTGAACTTAAATACATAAATAGAGAGACCCAGGCAGTAGAAGGCCGCGACCCGCTCCCGAGCCCCTAGGAATCACAACTAAGGCCTTGTTTCCTCCTCAAGTCACACTGGGAAGTCAAAGGCAAGGGAGTCATCTTTGGATAATTTGGGGTTTTCTTATGTACAAAAAAAAAAAAAAAAAAAAAAAAACTGCAACCCAAAATAGTGTTCTCTGTCCATCTCTGAAACTTCTTGTCTCAGATCTGCCACCTGAGTTGTGGCCAAAGAGAATGGAATGGACATAAAAGAATGGACATTTGGGTTTGGGAAGAGAAAGTGTCTGGGGGGGGGGGTTCGGTAGGAAAGTACCCTTTTCCCAAGAGGTTGCAGATCTGGTAAAGGCTGAGGACCCCCTCTTCCCGCAGGTCCTATCCTTCTGTCTGCCTCCCACTGCCTAGGTTACCATACCCAAAGGAATGGGCCACCATCAAAGAACACTTCCAAAGATGAACCCCAACAGCCTTTCTAAAAAGGTTAAATGTTAACCCTTTGAGTACTGGCCTTGGTAGGCAGAGATAAGGCCAAAAGCAGGTATCCACGGAGGTCTAGCCTGGCCTTTGGCCAAAGACCCCTGAGGAATCAGAACAGCCAGGGGTTGGGAACCCATAGCATATCTGCTCAGTGCAGGGGACCAATGAAGGTTTCAGAATCCAAATAACTCAGTCCAAGGAAATGACATCTGACCGACAGCCAGTCAGAGAGGGAGCTGATGGCAGCGGTCCTCCAGGCCCTTCCCTCAAGGAACTCCCAGGAGCCACAATGCTGCTGACACGGCCAGGAGGGGGCGCTGGAGTGGAGCTGCGGTGAGAGCTCCCCAGGGTGGGGGCCAGTGGGCCCAGGAAGTGAGAAGGGGTTCCTCGGAACTGGAAGAAGTGGCCGAGGGTGTCCTGTTCATCTAGCGAGGTGATGACGGAAGGGCCATAGTGCTGGAGGAAGGAAGGGCACGGCTTACAGTTTTACCTTGACTCGCCCCCCCACCCCCAGCACTCATCTCTGAGCTACTGTGTGGGGTATCAACCCCTATGGATCGCAAGGCGTTCCTGAAAAGAAAAGCAGGGACCTCTCTGACTCGGCCCTCCTTCCCCGGGCCCCTCCCCTGTGCCCCTCCAGGGACTGCCTGGAGACAGTTTCTCCAGATATCCAGTGCTTGGCCTTGTGGGTGTCTGAAATGTGTGGAACAGCCACGGGGGAAGGTTCTAGTGCATGAGGGGGTGGGTAGGCAGGGAGGAGCTGGGAAGGCACAGGTCTGCATATGAAGTGCCGGTGGACATAGGGAAAATAAGCTGCCACCTTCCCCTCACGGATGAGCACGTTTAAGTCCCAAGGGAGACTGGGCAGGGGAAGAGAGTATCACCATGTCTAGAAAGGACTCTTCTGAGGTCTTGGATCTTCCTAGAAGTGACCACTTACCTGACTCTCAGTCTGGAGGAAAGAAAATAAATCTAAACCTGGTAGGAAAAGAAAAATCAAAATCAACCCCCTTCTGACCCCTTCACCACAAGAAAAAAAAAAAAAATCCCCCTGTCCCTGGAGCTCTGCAAAGAAACGGGTCTAGAGAAGGTATGATGGCAGGGCAGGAACCCCCTACTTTAGGGTCAGTGTTCTACCTTGGATGTCAGCCCCCAGTGGGAAAGCTGGTGGGTACTCATGTAGTGGGAGACTAGACAGGAAATCACTGCCCAGCGTGCCCATTGCAGGACTCCGCAGCACCGAAGACGGCTGGTGACCAGATGTCAGGACCCTGTGAGTGCAGAGGAGGAGCTGGAGAAACCAGCCTAGGACAGACGCCCTCGCCAGCTCAGTCGCCCAGGCCCAAGGTCCCGTTCCTTCCACTCTTCCCTACCCCAAGGCTCGCCCTGTGATCAGAGGCAGTTCTGACATCTATGCCCTGTGCTGCAGACACAGCCTCTCCTCATACCCTTTACTCCCAGGGAGGGCTGGGATGGCAGCCGAGGCGGTAGGGCAGTGCTTCTTGGGGGGAGGTACGTCTTCTTCGTCTGAGGAGCTCTCTATTGTCAAGTCAATGACCTCGACCTTCTTCTTATGCTCTGACGTATTTCCCTCCTGGACTGGGCTATACTGGAGGCCTGTGGCGGTTAATAAGGCTGTCTCAGGAAAAGGGTCATCCATGATTTAGCTCAATTGGGGAGCAGAGGGCCACTCACCATCCAGCCCATACCCTGGCGGGGGGCAAACCTCAGATGCCTCCTTCTTGGGTTTCATTGGACACCAGGATCCGTCTTCCATGAACTGGATCTCATCACAGTCCGAACAGGAATTAAGAATTTCCATGAATAGACTAGGGGAGGAGGACATGGGAATTCAGGAGGCTGGGAGATGGCTGGACTAGCGCTCAGTGTTCCGAGACTCACGTCCTGTGCCTCGGTCCCCTCATCTGTATCACGCACCTGGCTGGACCTCTGAGTGTTGATGGGACAGAACAAAGCACAGGCTGGCTGGGGCAATGACAGGGCATTTAGCGCGCAGACCCCAGGGTCTGATCCCCAGCTCAGTGGGGGAAGTATGAAAAGAGCTTCACAAATTTTAGGTGCAGGGTTAAACCTTCTTAGAAGACAATGCAAGAACCCTAATGGAGGCTGTGGAGACTGCTTAGGACCAAGAAAATCATTTGCTTATGGGGGTTGGTGATGGAAGACCACCTATACAAGTATATCCAGAACCTCAAGAAAACAAAACAACGACAACAAAAAGGCAAAAAACCAACTTACTGTGACAATCTAACAAATGCCCTTCCTAATAGTGAAAATGAAAAGGAACCTGACAATGCTCTGTGAGAAGTTCAGGTACTTTTTTTTATTTTTATCAGCAATATATTGCAACTATTCAATGCACTGCTCTGCCACTTACAAATGTGACCTTCAGCCCTGGGTCTCTTTCCTCATCTGTAATGGTGGCATCTATGTCATGGGGTTGGTTGTTATGAGGACTCAATGAAACAATGCGTGCAGAGTGCTGAGGTCCTTAATGTCACACACAGTAGATGGATGGATAAAGGGAATGCAGGTGAGAGCTGGAAGAGAGAAGTAAGCCATGGGGGTGGGGGTGGCTTAGCAGCCGTCCTAGAAAAGAGGGAAGCTGAAGAGACCTACCCATCAATAATGAGAGACTCATAGGGCGCCTTCTTGTCACACACGGGACATGTCCACGTTGGCTTCTTTTCATTCATCTGCAGATAAAGGGCAGCGTCGAAGCTCTGCAGGTGGGCGCAGGTGAGGGCCCGGCACGGGACGGTCAACCGCATCTTCCCTAGCTGGTGACAAGAGTTCGTTCGAGAAAAGCGTGCCCTTAGGAACCGTCTTCCGAATTTCACCCAACCCCCTCCCTCCCTCTCCCTCTCCCCCCTCGTACCCACCGGGCACATGAGTGACACCCGGAGACTTGTGGTGGCCACCTCACTGTCAGGGTCGGCGGTCAACTTCTCCTTGACTGAAACAAGAATGAGGCCAGAGCCATGGGGTCAGCGAGGCTGGAAGCAGCCTGGCAGTGCAGGGCCCCAGCTGAGGCAGCTGAGTAGAGTCTCAGGGGGCCCATGGCATGTCACACGAGGGGGTCTGGATCAAGGAGGCTGGGTATGGAGAAGAAATGTCTCCATCCCTGAAGATGCTTAAACACTGGAGGGTGAAATGCGGGCTACGTTAGGACCTATCTTGGTGGGAGGGAGGCGTCATGCCAGGGTTAGACTGAATGAACTTCAGGCTTTTCAGTGCAGAGAACTCTATTAGTAAGGGTGATATTAGGGTCTTTGAGATACAAGACCCTAATTTGTACTATTGGGAACGCAAAGCTATTCCCACTCCCCGAGGCCCTAACTCAACCGCAGAGACTGAGGGGGAGCAGGGGGAGCTGGGGTGTGGAGCTACTCCAGATAAAGCCCAGGTGGGGTCGGGTGGCAGGAAGCTCTGAGCCCAAAGCAGGAGGAGGAAAAGGCTGCTACTCACTCAGTGCCCGGGAATGGTCCGGGTTCCGGATACCCTTCGCTCTGAGTTTTTGTAGAAGGGTCCCTGCAGTCAGCTGCCTCACCAGGTACACAGACAAGGAGTAATTCTACTTAGGGAAGGGGGAGAGAGAATTAGCTTCTGCTTCCCAAACCTCCCCTTTTCCCACGTACTTTGTCCCACGATGGCCTTAAACAGAGCAGCCCGAGCAGGGCAAGATGGATGCCCGGCTCAGAACCAGACAGCTCCCCTGCAGTCTGTGCACGCCTCCCGCTGCAGCCATGCTCACCCGTCCAAACTCAGACGACCAGTTCACCACGATGGTGTTGGGAACAGTGGCTGAGAGTCGAGCCAGGGGTGTGATGTTGATGGGACGGCTGGGCCTCTTGGGCTCAGCTCCATTTTTGGTTGGGGGGAGGTAACCCTGAGGAAGGGAGGGCTCTGTTAGTGGAGACAGAGCGCCCGCCTGGCCTGGCCGGGAAGGGGCTCAACTCTAACAGCAGAAATCCTGTCACAGATTACTCTCTGGAGCGAGGCCAGCTCACCCACGAGCAAAGGAGGACGGATCCACTGCCTAGGGAGAGCGCTGTGAGGGGCTCGCCTCTGGGGTCAAAGGGGGAGCTTACTTACTGACTAGGGAACTAGGAACCCAGCCACCGGGTCCCAGGGAACAATGGACACTTCTTGTCTTACACTTTCATCTGAGAGCGAAACCTTTTACAAATCTTTTCTAAACCTCTGTATTAAAGTAGTGTCCCTCTCCTGGGTTCTGACAAAAATTATTCAGCCCTGTTTTATCTTACTTATTTTTTTTTTTTAATTCTTTGAGAATTTCATACAATGTGTTTTGATCCCATTTACCCTCTTTCCCAGTTCTTCCCAGGACCACCCTATTTTTCTACCCACCCGGCTTTGAGGCCCCTCCCCCCAACCCCAACCTCTCAAGTACAGTTTGTGTGGCCCATATAATCTTAGACGTGTGGCCTTCTGGAAGAATACTGTCGACCTACTAGTCAGCTCTATTTTAATACTCTCTAGATGACGCTGATTCTGTAAACAAACTGAGCAACTAATGTGACAGGCACTGTCCTCAGCACGCCTTTCCATACGAAGTTTTGACTTAATGTTTATTCATTGACAAAGAGGAAGAATCTTTACCTACCGGCAGGGGGCAGAGTTTCCCATTAACCTTGACAAACAGGTTAGGGGGGAAATAGTCCTCCTGGGGGCAGCTTGTCTCACAGAGACAGAACCTGGTGAGAAAAGTCACGATGAGTGGGCAAGGGGTAGTTTTCTGAGGTGAGTCTAGCACTGAATCGGAGGGAACTCCAGAAAAAAACAAAACAAAAAAAAAAACACAGTCATAGATGTTTGTAGGTGGCATGGGGCTGGAGAGATGGCTCAGTGGTTAAGAGCACTGGTTGCTCTTCCAAAGGACCCGGGGTTCAATTCCTAGCACCTACACGGCAACTCACAACTGTTTCTAACTCCACTTCTAAGGAATCTGACACCCTCACACCAATGCACATAAAATAAAATTAAATAAATTATTTTTAAAACTAAAGATACTTGTAGCCATCAGCATCCAGAAGAGTCACAGGGCCAGGGGGTGCTAGGGCTGTGGGGGAGCGCATGATACTGCTATTTACCACCCGTCTTTGATAAGCAGCAGCTCACCTCAGCTGCACCTGGATGGTATAATCGCACTTGGCTCCTGGCAGAACCTCCCTGCAACAAGGAAGAGGAGCGTCCGTTCAGAAGGGGGCATGCGGAAGAAAGTCCCCAGGGCCAAGGCAGGAGAGGGAAGGCCTACCTGGACGTGAGGACCTGCTGCACCTGCTGGGGCGTGAGAGCAAAGGTAAAGTGTGCTTCCTCAAACCTCTGGCTGGAGGTGGATGCTGAGGACACAAAGGCACCGTCATTCCCAAGCCCGAACTGAGAAGCCGCTCGCTCCCATCCCAAACTGCTGATCCTACAAGAGTAAAATCTAGGGGAAAGGATTCCACCCTGAACCCGAATCCAGAAAGCCTGAAGGACCACAGGCTGCCGTACCGAGGGTGGTGGGCCGGATGAGTTCCCCGTAGACTTCGTAGAAGGGCAGTGGTTTCATGGTGACATCGGGGTGCACAGGCTGGGCCAGAGGAGGGTGCATGTCCACCTCGCGCTTAGGGCCCAGCAAGGTGCCGGGGGTTAGAAGGGCGGGAGGAATGGGAGTTAGGGCGCCAGGAGGGCCTACAGGAGAGGTGCCAGGGGGCAGAGCCAGCAGAGAGAGATCAGAAGGCCCCAGGGTCTTCCGGGGAAAGCGCCGGCGGTAAAGCTCTTTGATCTTCATCTGGACACTGGGGGCACAGCTAGACTTGAGGAGGTGCAGGGCCTTGGCCAGGAGCTCGTGTTTGCGTCCACTCTTGTTCCGGCCAGCGAAGCCAAGCAGCACTTGGAGCTCAGACACTCGGAAACTCATCACCATGTGCTGGAGAGAAGAGCACAGAAACGATCCCACTTCACAAAGGCCTGGCCCACTGATGACATGGAGGCTGACCTCCTGGGGGACAGCGCCTCTCCCCTCCGCCCCCAATGTTGGAAGGTGCTCCAAAAGCAGTGCACTGCCTCCAGGTAGCTGACCTGACTAGCTGAGCACACAGCCCCAACTAGCTAGCCCACGGACCACCAGGCCCCACCCCAACCCCTAATCCAGACATTCCCTTAAGCTGATTACCAGCTCAGGGCTCAGACTCTCAGGGAGGTTCTGGCTTCCTGGGAAACCGACAGGATACAAGGAGGGAGAGAAGGAAGGACTCAGAGCAGATGGCCCCATACGGAAGAAAGAGGTCAGGTGGCAAAAGGATTGTACCCCACAGCCACCCCCACTGCCATCACCTCAATCCATAGCTCTTCTCCCATATCTCTGAATTGAAACTTTTATGGTCAGGGATTTTACGTCAGGGTTCAACACTCCATCATCATCATCATCATCATCATCATCATCATCATCATATCCGCCCTCTTTTACATTGCTTACTCACTCCTTTAGTTTTGTTTTACTAGAAGGAAGCTACCAAAGCTTGTAGGGAAGAAGGGTGAATCCACAAGTCTAGGCAACTGACTTGACTTACTCCATTTGTCAGGAACTAACATCTTGCTTCTCTCCTTTATACAGGGCATACATGCCCACCAGGGTAGGAACCAAAGCAAATGTCTCAACAAAGACCCCCGGAGAATGAGACTGGGGTCCATGGACCACAGCACAGACCCCAGGAGAATGAGGTCCATGAACCACAGCACAGAAGGAAGCTCTTTAAAGGGAGATGGCCAGGACTCCAGCCTGTCTAGGACAAGGATGGAGCAAAGCCAGAAGATAGGGGAATGAAGAGGTTTGAGGTTCTGTGGGACGTCCTCAGAGGTGGTTCCTTGAAGACTTGGAGGGCTGGGGGAAGGAGAAGCAAGATCTCTCTCCGTGTGGGGCTCCCTTCTGTGAATGTCTAGAAGACCTAGTCATGGACAGGTCATTAGTTCTCCAAGTTCTTTTCCCCTTGGACTCCTTTTCAGGAATGTGATGAAAACTCTGTCCCTCTACCTTTCCATCCTTAGCTCCTCCTACTTCTTTTTATTTCTCTATTGGCTCTGTAACTTATTTTTCTACCCCAGGATTCACACTTCTCCACCTCTCCAACGAAAAGACACCTCGTTAAGACAGTTCCTTCCCCTCAAGCCTCCAGGAGGCTCCGGCCCATCTCCTAATGTGCGCTCCTGTGCAGCCCCGCCCCTACGTCTCAGCCGCCTCCTGCTACTCCTCGAGGCTCGGATGCCAACAGCAGCCCCAAAGCCTCCACCCTAACTAAGCTTCAAGTCCCCTGCCAACCTTCGGCCCTCGGGTCCCATCCCTACGCCTGCCCCGACTGCCGCATCTCTCGGCCTGACGGACTCGCCCCTGCGCCTCCGGGGCAGCTCTCCCTCGCCCGACTCTAGCCCGCAACTACCGACTCCGCAGAGCGGCTACCGCCCGCGTCCCCGCCCCCTGTGCCTCGGCCCCCCAGCGGCGACCATCGCCCCTCCACCCCACCCCTGCCTCTGCCCCGCGGCCCCGCCCCCGGGGCGCCGCCGCGGCCCCGCTCGCCGCCGCGCATCCCCGCT